AACGCAGGTCAAGTTACCGGGGTATAAAGCCTACCAGGGGAAAGAAAATGGCAAGACCGCCGTCCTGGTGCACAGAAACATCCCCGCATCGCGGCACCAATTCGACAGTATAGACATCCCTCATGATTTAGTAACAGTCTATCCCCCGAAGCGAGGTGGGTCTAAGATATGGGTGTCTTAAACGTATACAGCTCCCCAAATAATCAGGGCAGGACACATCGATTCAACCAGCTATTCTCGCTCGCAAGAAAAGAGGCGGGCCCACGCGCTCTCCTAATAGTTGGAGACTTTAATACCGCGCACACCGCGTGGGGCTACCAGAGCTGCAGTTCCAAGGGCAGAGACCTCTTGCTACAGATACAATCACATCACCTCACATTAGAGACCAATCCAACAGCACCCACAAGCATAGGCAACAGTGTTCAAGAGACACAACACCAGATCTCACCCTCTCATCACGCATCAACCAGCTCACGAGCACGGTCACTGAACACAGCCTAAGCAGTGATCATCTCATCATAAGCACAACACTATCCCCCAACCTGAGGCTTACTCGCACCCTCAAGCAAAGAACCCTGGTTGAATGGGAAAGCTTCAGAGCAGTCAGAGAGTCCAACGCCACAGAAAACAGAAGCAGACACGAACAGATCGACGATATCAATCAGTGGACTAATCAGCTGCTGAGGGATGTCAGAGGAGCCACCAAAGAGCTAGACCCGAGTATTCCATCGGAAACGGTAGACTCCCATCTACAACATATATGGGAAGCCTACAGTAGCATTCTAAAAAGATGGAGGAAGAACAAACACAACCGTAAATTGAAAACCAAACTGTCCCAGTTGGAGAGACAAATCAGCTCACACGCGAGTTCACTGGTGCGAGACCAATGGGGACAGATCTGCGATCAACTGCGCGGTAACCTTGGGCTGAAAATTACCTGGATCCTCTTACGACACCTCCTTGATCCGGATCAAGGCAAATCGGAACAAAAGAATCGCATGACTAAACTTGTACAAATTTTCTCGGGCTCGGATCAAGATTTGCTCGATCAAGCTACCGAAAAATACCTACCGACCGGGCCCCAAAATGCACTCCCTCCCTACCCTGGGCAGCAAAACACCAATATGGACCGAGAAATCGCCGAGGCGGAGGTGAGGTTGGCAATATCCAAACTCAAACCCAACTCGGCGCCAGGACCGGACGGAATAACCAACTTACCCTCCGCAACCTTGATGACTCATCCATTACAGACATCACCAACTACAAAATTTCAGGGGTGGCCCGGCTGACCCGGCCTAAAAGCCGCAAACAGAAACACGAAACTTCCAAGAGCCGCCGGGGGAAGGGGGGGGGGGGGGGGCGGAGGGGGGGTGCAAACTTTTGTTCTGGGATAAAAACAAAACTCGAATTACTTTCAATCAATCCGAGTCAAAAGAACTCAAAGTGTACGTAAGGTAGCTGTAGCATAAGACTACCAAACCGCAGCCTGTCATTCGATGTAAAACGCGTTCCATTTCTCCATTTCTCCATTTGGGCAAGTGCTTGTGTGACCGGGAGGGAGGCGTGGAAGTGGAAGGGGGGGGGGGGGGGGGGTACGGGGCTGGGGAGGGAGCCGCGAGCCGCACTTTAACACGCGAAGAGCCGCATGCAGCTCGCGAGCCGCAGCTTGGCCACCTCTGAACTACAGCAACACATGCTGGAGAGAGGGGAGGATTAACGAGTCGTGGAAACACGCAAAAGTTATTCTAATCCCCAAGCCAGGGAAACCCCTCACCCTGGAACACCTAAGACCTATTTTTCTCACATTCTGCTTATGTAAACTAATGGAACACATAATCCTAGATAGGCTGACCAACCACATGAATGATGCAGACCTGTTCCTACACACCGTGGTTGGCTTCAGGGCTGGGCTCGGATCAAGGGCATTGATTGAGGTTTCGTGTCTGTCCGTCCCTTTTTGTCCCCTAGTTCCAGGGTTAGTATGTCTAGGGCATTGATTGTTCGAGCTAACGGTTTTGCGCAGTGTATATAAATGCCAAGGTACCCTACCACAAACCAAAGCATACAAACAAAAAATAGTTCCTTTTACATGGAAAATAAAAAAAGGAGAGATATAAATAAAGCACTCACTTTCGCTCATTTGCAGTGTTTTGCTGCCTGAAGTAACCTAAAAATCTCTGTCCGTTTGCTGACTGCTCGAAAGGGCAACACTTGTTCCCGCCGTTCAAGGGCCGCGAAAGGATTGCGACCAGCGATTTTCAGAAGCAGCCAGAGGTTCCGGATTACCGCGGAACGTTTTCTGGAGGACGCCGTTTCAAACGAAGTCTATACGTAGACATCTTTGTGCAGCGAGGTCAATACCGGCCAAGCGCGCTCCCAAGAGTGCTTCTAAGTTGCGAGCTTCCACTTTGAATGCCCTTCCAGAAAAACACGTACCATCTACTAAAACTGTACTGAGAGTGGAACACGCTTCCTAAAACGGCGAGGTAAGCGGAGCTCACGCTCCACGCTCAAATCCCAGAGCGGGCCGCGCATGCGCAATGGAGACTCCGCTTTCCATAGAACGGAGCGAGAGTGCGAAAGCGGTACGTTACAAAACAATTTACGACGCTGCTTACGCCACAAGTCACCGGGACATATGCGCTTCATATAAAGCGTAACCACCAATTCAAAACCATAGCCATGGAACGTGACATTCGAGACACGAATGTTCCGGTAACTCTATCTGTGACTTGTTTGTAATGTTATTTCCGCAGCATGGGCTGCAGGGGGCAGAGGCGCTGTCCTAGCCTCCTCGACGACGGAGCCATAGCTAGGGCACGCGGCTGCAGGAAAAACGTGAGGAGGAGCGCACGGAACGGTGACAAATACAGTAGCGCGGAACAGAAAGGGCAGAGATATTAGAGAGTTTTAGTAGATCGTTCCGATACCTCCGATAGCCCCGATAGCGATACTATGAATGCACAGGGGAGGCGGTGCCGGAGTATCGGGTATCGTTATCGGAGTCATGGGAACGATCTACTAAAACTCTCTATTAGAGAGTTTTAGTAGATCGTTCCCATGACTCCGATAACGATATCCCGATACTTCGCCGCCGCCTCCCTTGCGCATGCATAGTATCGTTATCGGGGCTATCGGAGGTGGGTCTAGGACATTTCGGTGTAGGACATTTCGGTGTAGGAACTTTCGGTGCGGACTTCTCGGTGTGCGGCCTTTTCGGTGCAAGACATTTCGGTGTAGGGACTTTTCGGTGCATGGACATTTCGGTGTATGGATATTTCGGTGCATGGTCGTTGAACACAAAAGGGACACCCAAGATTTGGTTTTCTCGCCCTTGTAGTATTTATCTTTCGCCCCCAAGTTGATACGAAAAAGTAATTCTTCCTCTGTTCAGCTTTGTTTCCTCGAACGCTACAGAGAACGCTTCGGCATTCATAAGAAACTTTTCCCTCCTTTTGGTTCATTCTTTGTAGTTGACAGAACAATGGACCTTTCTGCTTCTCTAACTTTTTGTGTTCTGAAGACAGCCATCTTTTTTTAGAAACGGGGATAAACGCTAGTCTTATCGCCTCCGACAAAGGTTGATAACCGTGCGCCTCTTTCGGGAAGCCGGGATCGGGGAACTTGTGACGAAAAGGGTCAACAATGCCAGAAACTTGCCTTACCTTAACCTTACACTTTGAGAACTCGATGTTATATGATAAGCATCTGATATTTGCGTGTCGCCTCGTCGTATACCAACCGGTGTTGGTTAAAACGAACAAGGAGGTGACTTTGTTGGTCTGATTCGCCTTTAGCGGAAAGATGAAACTTTATACGGGCTTCAGGACAAAGCCATGGACGAAGCTCAACACGATGCTTCGAAGAACGGGGCCGCCGCCAGGAGTAGTTATAGGTAGGACTCCGTGTTTTCGGATATATCCGAAAAACTCTGAAAAGCACTCGCCGGCTAAAATTTTCGTTGATTCGGGTTTATCTGAAAAACTCCAATATCGAAGTCAAAGCACAAAAAATATTAGTTCTAATATAAAACGGTACCAAGAGCGCTCACCAGTGCCCTTCCAAAACTTGTATAATTGCCAAAAGAGGCTCATCTCGTCAATATGCGTGCCATCAGCGACAATAGCTGACGAAATATGACGGCACCTATTACAGCAAGCTCTGAGATAGAGTTCCTAACAACCGTGATTGCACCAGCTGTAAAGTTCGTGCAATAAAAGTGAATTTCGGTGTCTTCATCCGTCGAAGTGTGAATAGCTTCTTTTTATTTTGTTCACCATTTTCGGAGATCTGGAAATTGACCAGAAATAAAATTCGATAAACTCGTAATTTCTGAGAATTCAGTATTTACCGAAAATAAACGCCGGTAAATGCCAGATTTTTGAGAAAAGAAAACACAAAAAAACCTCCAAATTTGACGAAAGCTAAACTCCGAAAGCATGGAATCCTAGTTATATGCTATAAGTAGTTTTTGGTCTAAACCGAAAAACACAAATAAGGGTATGCCGATTTCTTTTTTTTTTTTAAGATCACTATTTTAGAGCGGGAAGAGTAGGGGCAGGGGGGGAGGAGGTAAGTCTACCCTTTGTTCGGCTGCTATGTTATGCTCCTGCGGTGTCCAACCATCAACCCAAGATAGCTTGTCCGGATATAGGCTTATCACTGGAATTGCCTTTTGTAAAGCCGTTCCATTCAACAAACCTTTTTTCTCTCCTAGAAGAATTATGGAGAAATTGACAATACGGACAAACAAGGCAGGAATTCGTTTTCTTTTGTTTCGCCTTCAGCGGGTGAGGTGCGAAAAGGGGGGCACCCCTGCATTTGGTCTTATGTCACCAGTTATTTCTGCCCTTTCCAGTTAATTTTTCGCATTCTATCATAAAGGAAGGAAGGTCCAGGAGAGGACATAACGCCGCAGATGTGAAGCGGAGGGAGGGGGGAGAACTTCCGGTTTTAGAGGACACGCCCCTATTGGTGACTCACTTGTGTGTCGCCTCGTCGTATGCCAACCAGTGTTGGTGCAAACTAACTCGTCACTTCCCTGAAATGGCTGTGTACTTGCGAAGTAACCGCGGTGGGCTGAAACTTCTGCACGAAGGCTTCGAGTATGACAAGGAACGTTGCTTCAAAGAAAAGGTGAGCCTTTCACTGAGTTTGCGATTCAAATGCGATCTTTTTTTAATAGTACGAAGATTGTTACGCCGACTCTTCCTGTCTTTAGCTAAGTTATAATTTATAAAAACGCCTATTCCTCGCAGACATACTGGCAATGTAGCCGGAAACTGGAGTGTAAAGCAAGGGCTCACACTATTGACGAAGAAGTTGTCAAGCTGATCAACGAACACAGCCATGCTCCCAGCCGACTGGACCAAGAGGCCAAGTTGGCGTACTCATCAATGAAGGAAAGAGCACGGACGACTGAGGAACCCAATCAAGCCATCGTCGGACGCCTGGTGGCCGAGATGACACCGGAAGCTTGCAGTTACTTACCGCCTCAGGACACTGTTAAAGGGGTACTCCACCGATTTTTTGAGCTACCTCAACTAACTATATTTTATGACTCCCCGGCCTTTACTCTCTCCGGTATGCTATTCAGAATCGCGAAATTCATAATAGTTATTGCGAAATCGGCAAATGAAAATGATGCAAAAACCAACATTCAAATATACGCGCGCTTTTCAGGGCCGTGACGTCAGTGGCAGGCAGGCTTGCCAGTCGAGCAAGCAGCCAAAAAATAGAATATGCCGATCATTTGCTCCGTGCTGGAGCGCGGGTACTGCAGCGAGCTTCCCAAGCATTCATTTGACACCATGAAACTGCTTCGAATCAGTTTAAAACAAAATCTACAGCCCAAAGAGTGAACCCCTGCCTTCCACTGACGTCACTTTTTCACTGTTGCCAGTAGAGACTTCGAGCTTGAAAAACACGGTGAGGACCAAAACTGTAAATTCAATAACTTCGCGAAAAAACAATATTTTGACCTAATATTTGGGATACTATTTTCGCGATGTTTGTTGGTTAGTTTAACAAAATTTCAAGCAAATCGGAGACAATGAAAAAATCGGTGGAGCAGCCCTTTAAGAGAACATTAAGGTAAGTGTTATACACGAATGTTACGAATTAACATCTTTGCTACCTTAGCAAAATATATGCCACCTCATATGCTATGGAGATGTCCAGTTTATCATCGGGCTAGCCTAAACATTTTTAAAATTGAAAATATAGTAAAATAATAATGAGTAACCGCCCTATAGTTGAAACGTGACAGCAATAATATTTCCAACTTTTTTGCATGCAGGAGGGCGCGGGCGATGGAGCAACGGCCGATGCCTCTCCCTTCACGCTTAGAAGACGTCGTCATCCCTGCGCAGTACGCGTCGAAGATTGACGGGTCCAGATTCCTGTTGCATGACTCCGGTGTGCAAGACCAGGACCGTTTCCTTATCTTCTGCAGCCCGCAGATGGTGGATGTACTCCGAACATCTAAGAAGTGGTTCGCCGACGGGACGTTCAAGGTTGCGCCTGAGTTGTTTTACCAGGTTTACAGTCTACACTGCGAAGTGGGCGGCTCCATCCTGCCTGCGGCATACATTTTGCTAACGCGGAAAGACTGTGGGACGTATACGCGAGCCCTGAACACCCTTAACGCCGAGTGTGGGGGAGATTGCGAGCCAAGGACCGTCACAGTGGATTACGAACTGGCGGCTATCAACGCTTTCAGGGCGGTCTTCCCAAGCGCCGACGTGCGCGGGTGTTTTTTTCACCTGTCGCAATGTGTCTACCGCAGACTTCAGTCGGAAGGACTACAGGAGCTGTATGCTTTTGACTCCGACATAAACCTGGAAGCTCGCATGATCCCAGCTCTTGCAATTGTGCCCCAGGACGACGTGGAGGGGGCATTCACCGAGCTTGCGTCCAGCATCCGCGCAGAACTTCTCCCGGTGGTCGACTACTTCGAGGATGTGTTTATTGGGCGGCTAACGGCACGGGGCAGAAGAGATGCGCAGTTTCCAATTAAGCTATGGAACCACCACGACACCGTTCTCCAGGGCGGCTCCAAGACCACGAACTCAGTGGAAGCCTGGCACCGGAGCTTCCAAGCTCATGTTCAGTGCTCGCACCCAACTCTCTGGAGATTCTTGGAGGTGCTACAACGAGAAGACGCCCTGCAACTTCACCGGCTTGGAAGACTCGAGATGGGCCAGCGCTTCAAGCAGGCCTCGAAATACGCGAAGGCTGCAGAACGGTTAAAGACACTTGCTAGAGAATACGACGCTAGTGATGTGCAACGCTTCCTTAGGGGAGTTGCCCGCAACGTGTCGTTCTAGGTCCCGGGCCATGTGCCTTTTGTAAATAAAAGTGGTCCACATTACATTTTGTGTACTATTTTGCTTCTGAATGCATTTGGCTTCGGACTTTCGCTTGATAATGAAACCCACGACTAACCTATGATGTGTATCTTTACCTGTTTCTATAGTATTCAGAAGGCCTACAATCTCGAGCTACTTTCCAGAAAGAGCATTCCATCAGGAATAAAGTCAGACAAGCGAATAAGTTTGTGTTTAGCTATACACCTGCTAGCTAGGAAAATATCCTCGTAGTGTGAAAGAGGAAAGTAATTTAACTTGTTTAAGGTATGTATGTCTTAATAACGAGTCTTAATATGTCTTAATAACGAATAACTGCAAGTAAGTTCAACTTCCCGAACTTCAAATTTACACCGAAATTTCCGTGCACCGAAGCGACCGTACACCGAAAAGTCCGTACACCGAAATATCCGTGCACCGAAATTTCCGTGCACCGAAATGTCCGCACCGAAACGTCCTACACCGAAATGTCCTACACCGAAATGTCCGGATCCCATCGGAGGTATCGGAACGATCTACTAAAACTCCCTATTAGGCGGCGAACATTTGTCGAACCTCAGGTTCGCCGTGGAATTTTGAGGTTCGACTAGTTAATTTTCGAACTTCTTATCAGTTTCGAAAAAAATTCTTTCTCTTTCGGCCAGTCGAGAGGAGAGAGAGGAAGGAGAAAGGCTTCAAACTTCTAAAAGCTTCGAGGTTTTCACAATGCGCAGATATGCAATGCTTGCAAAGTTGATCTCCCCACAGCCCACAGCGCACTGGAGGCCCGGTAGCTTGTCTTCTACCCGGACCTAGACTGAAATCTCCAAATGCTGCTTCGGTGCCTATTGTGAGAAAGCACCCAAGGTCGTAAAAATGAGAATTCCGCGCCAGTAGTCACCTACCGCAAACAAGAACAACAGAATCAGAAATAGCGTGAACCGGAATCTGCTTCTTTATTCTCTTTTTTTTACTGTATGATCATGTCCCCTCTAGGGCTTCACAATAAAGCTGTCTTTGTGTATTTTGTATTTCATAAAACCTATTTGTCTTTCTCCCAGAAACCACTTTTAGAAGATTTTTTGGATCATTGTCTCTTATCTTCCTAAGAAAGCTTGGGTTTACAATAACTCTAATTGGTTTAGGGTTCGTGGGTGAATCGTCCACCTACCGCCGCCACCTCTTTCCGTAAGGTCGGGCTGCGTTATCTGGTGGACAAAAGAAATTCAAAGAAAACTGTGTAGATATTGTTTGAAGTTAGTTTGGTTGTAAGGTCGGTCTACCCTACACAGCGCATTCCTATACATCCCGAATGATCCCTTTGTGATGGAGTGAAAGTCTCCTGGCTATATAAGGCTGCCAGCACATCGAGGCCAGATGCAGATCGTCATTTTGTTACAACGTCTGCGTCAGCTATGGGCAAATGGGCGAAGTACTCGAGGTCCTACAAGAAGGAATGGGAGAGAGGCCCAGATTTCAAAGGTATGTGTGCCATGATAATCATTCGTTTATTTCATCGTATATATGTGTCCATTGCTTGCTTTTTTCCTCAATATTGAGCTTACATTTGGTTGAAATTAGGTTGACCTGTGGTGGAATATTTCTATTGTGTGTGCAGATTGGCTGATGCAGTCATCGTCTGGGGACATGGCATATTATCGCGTATGCAAGGCCGAGCTACGGTGACATGTGCAGGACCTGAAAGCCCACAAAACCAGGGCAAAACATCAAAGAAACATGCAGCTTGCTGCAGCAGCCATTCGACCTGGACCACCGGACAACTTCGTTCAGTTGGAGCTCCGGACCCAGAGCCAGCAAGCAAATCGCCAACTCAAGACGGTCGAGCTCCGCCTGGCTGCCCATGTTGCCGTCCACAGCTCGATCATGACGGCAGACCATCTGACACCCTTGCTGAAGAACTGCTTCAAGGACTCTGTGACTGCGGCTGCCCTGTCTATGGGCCGCACGAAATGCACATCGCTCATTACCAAGGTACTTGGACCAACATTTAAAGAAATTATACTCAGTGACATGAAGGCGTGCAAGTACTCTCTTCTACTTGACGAGAGCACAGATGTGTCTGCCACTAAGGAACTCGCTGTCGTGTCGAGGCACTATTCTAGGAAAACAAACTCTTTTTGCACGTCATTCTTGGGCCTTGTGCCTATTTACGACGCGACGTCTGGAGGCTTATTTTCGAGTTTAAGTAGGTTTCTTTCATCCTGTGACCTCGCTCTAGAAAATTGCGTTGGCATTGGCACTGACGGCGCTAGTGTTATGTGTGGGCGAAACAACAGCCTGTTCACTCGCATGAAAGAAGTTAACAGTGGCCTAATATTGGTTAGGTGCGTTTGTCACTCGTTGCACCTTGCGTGCAACGAAGCGGTTTCTGTTTTGCCCACACAAGTTGATTTTCTTGTACGTGAATGCTTCAACTAATTCGCTCACTCGCCTAAACGGCAGCAGGAGTATCACGCTGTGTTCGCTGCCATCAATTCTGGTGACAGGCCCAAGAAGTTAGTCGGGCTGTCTGGCACGCGGTGGCTTAGTATTGCGGGCGCCATTCGTACGGTCCTTGACCAATGGGTAGAATTGAAGACTCATTTTGAGTTTGCAAAAACAACAGAGCGCTGCTATACAGCTAAAGTGCTTAGCGACATGTTCAATGATGATCTTAACCTGCTGCTGTTGAAGTTCCTCAGCCCCATCATTGACGAGTTTGACCGCATGAACAAATTGTTTCAGAGCGAGAATCCGGACCCGTCTAAGTTGTACAGTGACTTGCTGTCGTTCGTGAAGTGTATGATGTTGCGTGTCGTCTTGCCCAATCATGCGTCGCCCGGATCGGACTGGGAAGCGCACATCATGCACGTTAGAGCCTGTGACATGGGCGGAGTGTTTCGGGATAGTCTAGAAAGGTCCACTCTCTGAGGATGTTAAGACTGGGTTGTTAGAGCGATGTAGGCCGTTTCTTGTGGAATGTGTTAAATCAGTTCTCAAGCGATTCCCTTCAGATATGAGCGTTCTCGAGAACCTCCACCTTCTGCGGTGCAGCTCAATGGAGAACCTGCCGTTTCATGATTTTTTTTAAAGCCTTTTCGAGTCTGATTCGATCAGCCGACGTCAGCTTAGTAGAGTCAGAGTACCGTCTCTTACAAATGAAACTGAAAGAGCTACAGGAAGAGACAGTTTGTAAGTTCTGGATTCGTGTGTCGAGTGAGACTGATTGCGCTGGAAACCGACTGTTCCCAATGTTGTCCGATGTTGCACTCGCTATGTTGACACTACCTATGTCAAACGCAGCTGTTGAGCGCGTGTTCAGCCAAGTGACTCTTACGAAGACCGATCTGCGGAATCAGATGAGCATTGACACGCTGGAGAATGTCTTGCACGTAAAGTATGGTCTACGCAGCAACGGTAAATGCTGCTGCACGGATTTCCAACCGTCTGAGGCTTTTTTAGAGAAGTTCACAAGGGATGTCATGTACGCGAAAGAGTGCGAATCGTTTGATGACTGACAATGTGAAATGTCGGCAAAAATCTTTAATAAAAACGATGTAGTTGTGTTTGGCTATTTTGGGCTATTTTTTGTTTAGGGGTTTGGCTATATTTGGGCTATATCCCCCGGCCGTTTGGCGGTTTTTTGTTGGGACCATCTGGCAACACTGCCATCTGGCAACACACGGCAGAGGGAGTGACGCCCATATAGAAGAAACACTACAAAAAGGGGTTGAGATAGTAGCGGAGGAAGCAGAGAGAGCAGGTCTCGCTTGCTCTTCGGCGAAATCCGAAATAATACTACTTCGGCCCCACAACACTAGGAAACAAAAAAAAAAAAAAAAACGCGGACATTGAACTACAAATCAATGGCAGGCCAATCCCTGTGGTCTCGGAGCTCAAAATCTTGGGACTGCAGATCCAGGCGAATAGGCTCAATAACAAATTCCTTGAGCGAACAGAAAGTCAGATTAATCAAACAATAAGCCTACTGAAAAGGGTGACAAATAAACATAAAGGCCTCAATGAACAGGATCGCATACGCGTCCTACAGGCATTCGTCCTAAGCCGGCTAACATACTCGGCCCCATACCTACGCCGGCCTTCACCAATAAGGTTAATACCTTGATCCGCAAGGCCTACAAAATAGCACTACGCCTACCGCCTAGCACTCCAACTGCCAAACTGGAAGGACTCGGTCTGCATAATTACCTGGACGAATTAATAGAAGTACATCGCGCTGCTCAACTGACTAGACTCTCCCGCACCCCCACTTGTAGGCACATACTCGCCAGCCTAAACAGTGGATGTCACAAGCTCGTCCAAGACAAATCCCCCATCAGTCCCAACATCCACAACAAAATTATAGCAAATCCGCTACCTCGAAACGTCCACCCCACCCACAACCTTGCTCACAGGAAACAATCTGCTATTTCCCTGCAAAGAACCTTCGGGGATAACCCGGGTGTCCTATATGTGGACGCGGCAGAATACAGGCACCATGGGGCTTTCACGGCGGCGGTGACTGACAACTTACACTCCCCCATCGACGCCGTCACCGTCCTGACCACTGACCCAGAAACGGCGGAGGAGGTAGCCATAGCCCTCGCCTTCACTGTAATCCCAACACCTTCAGTGATCATCATGGATTCTAAAACCGCCCTTCAAAATTTCGCAGCTGGCCGCATTTCTAAGCCAGCGCTCAAAATTCTTCACAGAAACCCGCCCCAGACCCCCGCCAGACTGGTCTGGACACCCGCACACGCTGGTCTCGAGGGAAACGAGGCGGCCCATGAACAAGCCCGAGGATAAACTATCCGGGCAGGGTCTAGCCTCCATCCCTATCACGGGGCCAGAACCGCCAGGGACCGTCCATCCAGCTTTCATGAAATCATCACACACTACCTCCTCTCCCGTCACGTGTATCCGCCAGCCGACAAGTCCCTTACACTGGAGCAAGCCCATAGTGGGCGCCAACTCCAGAC